TATTTTGGGTTTCATTTTTTTTGCCCACAACTATCTAAAAATTTTGTTGAACCCCATATTGCATTTTGTAACTCAATTATTTTGTTGCATCATATTATACATCTTAATAAAATTATATATATTTTTTTAGGTACTAAATTTGCAACAATTATAGACTTCTATATTTTATATGTGGTAACTAGCAAAGTCCCCGCTACAATTTAATACCACTTAGTACCAAAAACCTTTTGGTACTTCTTTCTAAATTTCCGTCAGTGACCCACATTCCAAATTATAGGTTTACAGCTCTAACGGTTACCCAAATCCAAATTTAGTGCATTTCCCATTCTATTGACTATTCGTACACATAAATTCGAGTTTCCAAAGATATCAATCCTACACTCTAACAGTAATATTAATTCCACCAAAGTCCAAATTGTACCGAATTTAGTACTTTTCGTACTCTTAAGTACGAACTTCCTCAATCCTACTTTCAAATAGTAATCGTATGTCCAAATTAAATAATTTCAGCTCTGTCTGTTCACCAAAAACCAAATTGTACCAGATTTGGTACCATTCTGTACATTTCGTATCCATATTCCAAACCTATATAAATCCTACACTCCCACAGTAACCTAAGTTGAAACTTGCAGGATGCGAATTCTAGCCGTTCACCAAAGTACAAATTGTACCAAATTTTGTCCTTTTTGTACACATCAGTACGAATTTCCAAAACTACCTCAGTGATGCACTCCAATAATAAGTCCATATTTAAGTATTCCAGCTCTATCCGTTCATCAAAATCCAAATTGTACTAAATTTAGTACCATTTATTACTTTTCATAGACGTAAGTACGATAATCTAAAACTTCATCAATTCCACACTACAACAGTAATTTTAATTATAAAATTTCAGGATCCCAGCCCTATCCGTTCACATAGATCCAAATTATACCATATTTAGTACTTTTCGTACATATAAGTTTGAATTTCCAACAATGTCTCAATCTAGTACTCTAACCGTAATTTTATTTTCAAATATAAATTTTCCATCTCTATCCTTTCACTCAAATCTAAATTGTACAAACTTAGTACCATTTGTTTCACATATTTACGCATTTTCAAAACTACCTCCATGTCTCGATCCTACACTCCAACCTCAAATTCAAAATTTTAGGATTCCCGCTCACACAAAACTAATTGTACCATATTTTGTACAGCAAAGTGCTTCTCGTACGAAATTCCAATACTATCTAAATTCTGTAATTTTCATTACAAATTTAAGTTTTCCATCTCCATCCGTACACTAAAATCTAAATTGTACCAAAATGTCCTACACCTAATGACGAATTTTCAGAATTACCGACATATCTCAATCCTGCATTTCAACTATACTATTAATTCAAAATTTCAGGATCAGGATTTCAGGATCCGTTCACACAAAAGCATTTTGTAAACTATTTGGTACTATTTATTACTTTTTGTTTCTATAATTAAGAATTTCCTAAACTACGTCAATCTTACACTCTAACAGTTATTTTAATTCCAAAATTCTGGAGTTCAGCTCTATCCGTTCACACATAAACAATTTGTATCAAATATAGTACCATTTAGTACACATAAGTACTATGCATCCATATTTCAATTATTCCAAATTTTAGGTTTCCAGCTCTCTCCTTCACCCAAATCCAAATTGTACCAAATATAGTGCCGTTCAGTACTTTTCGTATACATAAGTACGAATTTCCAAAGATGTCTCTATAGCTCAATCTTCAACAATAATTTTATTTCCAAATTTCAGGTTTTAAGCTCTATCTTTTCAAGCAAAATCCAAATTGTACTAAATTTAGTACTTTTCGTACCAATAAATAAATTTCTTAAACTATCTCAATCCTACACTGAAACAGTCAGTTTAATTCTCAATTTGAAAACTCCAGCTCTATCTGTTCACCTAAATCCAACTTGCACCAAATTTAGTACCATCGTACACATAAGTACGATTTTTTAAAGCTACCTCAATCCTGTACTCCAATAGTTGTCCTAATTCATATTTTCCAATAAAATTAAAATTGTACCAAATTTAGTACCATTTTGAACTTTTTATACAAATAAGTACGATTTTTTTAAACCATTTCCCGACATCAACACCACTTCCCAACCCGGTGGGTCATATAAAATTTCAAGGTTATAGCTATATATGTTCAATATATACAATTCGAGCTAAATTTAGTAAAGTTTAGCACTTTTCGTACACTTATAGATCGAATTTCCAAAAACCCTTTTGTACATCTTTCTACCTCTTCATCAGTGACCGACATTCCAAATTTCAGAATTCTAGCACTTCACGTTCGCCTAATACAAAGGGTATCATATTTGGTACATTTTAGTACTTTTCGTACAATTTAGTACTTTCCTTAAAAATCCAGGCTTACAATAATTTTTATTCCCTAAGTAATTATTTTAAAAATCGCCCCTTGGAAAAAATATTTTTTGTGAAAAAAATCCACGCTTATATCGATCACTGCATTTCCGTATACAGCTCGTTTATATGCAATATTTGAAATAACCATCGGATGTTGGTCACTGCCATGGCAATCAACTAAAAATGTTAATGTAAAGTCTGCAAAGTCACATTAATAAATAAGCATTGCTAATATTAATTAAAACCTAAATGTTTACATACATATGTAGTACATTGCACTAATAAATTTTATATTGCTAAATTTGAATAGTCACATTGAACGGGAACACGCCGCCAAGTCGAAGTCCCCACTTTTTTTTTGCATATTTTATTCAAATTATTATTTTCATTCACTATATGAAATATATATTTATTTATATACACAAATATTTACATACACATTGCGTCCTTTGAATGGTTCCACGTGCTCTATTCGCTGAAGCAACAAACTGATCGGATAGTGTAATAATATAGACCGGATATTTTATTATATATTTTGAATTATTAAAATGGGCGAACAGATGTTGCAATAAAAAAAGCAATTACACAAATAAAAATATGTAATTTTAATTTTATTTTTGAGTGAAATGAATAACGAAACTAGAGCCAAATATATATTTTTATACAAGTAAAAAGACGGAAATAATAAAAATCCCAAAAAGAATTTTATTTTTAACGGAAAAAAATTATCATTTTTAAAAATCAACGAGTTATAAGAGTTATTTTTTAACTGATTCGATATTACTTATAACCGTTAATGTACCTGCATTAAAAACACGAAATTAAGTATGCAACTGGACACCTATCGTGAAACGTGAGAACTACTACGCTTGGTTAACATGTGTTTGTCCAGGGTAAAGTAGATTGGTAATTTTTTGAAAATAAATATAGCATACTCTTAGGAGAAAATAAAATATTGACAATTCATACATATGAGATATTTCTCGAAGGAATATTAAATTTGTTCATAAAGGACTGATATAGGTGTGGATTGTTATACCCTTCACCACACTGTGATACAGGGTATTATTTCATTGTGCATATGTTTGTAACAGGCAAAAGGAATTGAGATAGACCCATGATTCCTTTTGAGAATATACATAGAATCACTTTCTGAGTCGATTTATGCATGTCCGTCTGCCCTCCCGTACGTCCATGTATTTTTGTGAACAAAGTACAGGTAGCATTTATTATCCAATTTGGATGAAATTTGGCACATGTCACTTATTTGGCCTAAGGACGAACCCTATTGAAATTGGAGAAAATCGGTTCAGATTTAGATATAGCTCCCATACATAGTTTCGTCCGATTTTAGGTAAATGGGGCACCATACTGCCAATATTGGTCCGATTGAGACCAAATTTTGGACAGAGTACTGAATAAGGTCTAGATTGATATATGCCAAGTTTTGTTGAAATCGGTTCAGATTTTGATGTAGCTCCATATATAGGTTCGTCCGATTTTATGTAAATGCCAATATTGGCCCGATTGAAACCAAATTTTGCACAGAGTATTGACTTAGGTCCAGATTGATGTATGCGAAGTTTTGTTGAAATCAGTTCAGATTTAGATATAGCTGTCATATATAGTTTCGTCCGATTTTATGTAAATGGTGCACCAAACTCCCAATATTGGTTCGATTAAAAAAAATGCACAGAGAACTTACTTAGGGTCAGATTGATGTATGTCAAGTTTTGTTGAAATTGGTTCAAATTTAGATATAGCTCCCATATATATGTTCGTCCGATTTTATGTAAATGGAGCACAATACTGTCAATATTGTTCCGATTGAGACCAAATTTTGCACAGAGTATTGACTTAGGTCCAGATTGATGTATGCGAAGTTTTGTTGAAATCGGTTCAGATTTCGATATAGCTCCCATATATAGGTTCGTCGATTTTATGTAAATGGAGCACCATACTGCCAATATTGGTCCATTTGAGACAAAATTTTGCACAGAGTACTTAATTAGGTTCAGATTGATGTATGCGTAGTTTTGTTGGAATCTATTCAGATTTAGATAAAGCTCCCATATATAGTTTCTTCCGATTTTGTGTAAATGGAGCACCACACGGTCAATGTTTTCCGATAGACACATCATCTAAAGATGCTGTGTCTATTCTATATAAAGGATATTTTACATATGAGCATCTCTTGTATGTACCCAAAGTGGTGAAGGGTATCATATAGTCGGCTCCGTCCGTTTTTTGAACTTTCCTTACTGGTTTAAAGAATATTTTTCAAGGACTACTATAGGCGTGGATTTTGTGAAGAATATTTTTTAAGGACCATTACCAGGTGTGGATTTTTTAAAGAATAAAAACATATTATACAAAATTATTTTTGAATTTATTCGTTTTACCTTTTTAATAATTTCAAATTTGCATCACTTCGAAATTCAATTAAAACACATCTGTATTAGTTTTTTAATTTACTTTTATTATGAATTTATAAAATTAAGTAACATTCGATACAAATTTGATCAAAATATGTACTAAATATTTTTTACTAAAAAGCTCGCAAAATTATTTTGCAAAAACAGAATTGCAATTTAATTTTTTCACATAAATTTATTGCGATTTAAGAAATGATTTTTCGGCAATTCTGCTTGCTCCTTTTCCGCCTGTTCATTAATGCAATCGACAATTGCCCGACCAGTTTCCACAGCTTCGGTGAGACCATTACGCACAGCTGTTGAGCTAATCGTCTTCAAATCACTGGCCATATCCAGAGCAGCAAATACCCGAATCATGGCTGTGGTGAAGCCACTTGCATAATCACCAAATTCACCACTTTGATAATCATTGGGAAGCATATAATGATATTGTGGCCAATAGCTTTTCGTGATGAAGAAGACACTATTTGAATCGGAAGGTTTGAAACTTTTGTCCAGGCCCCAAACAAAGTGGGCGGAGTTAATTAGCCAGCAGATATTCAGGACAACCATATAACGGAGGGAGAAGGCCACAACAATGGAGGCGGTCAAAGAGTCTCCCCAATATTCCAATGGTGCATTGACAGGCAGTAGAACGTGCAATACGACAAACAATAGCCAATAGAATCTGTATAAAAAATTGGGAATACTTATTTCAGTAATTATGTATTCCTATGGGATAAGGAAAATATAGGTCTTTGGAATACGAGGTATATTTTGCTAAGCACTGTCGCCGACACCAATTGAATTTTGCTTTCAGATCGGACCTCCGCAAACTCTAGGCTGATGATACATATTATACATATCTTACTTTCAACTCGACGATTTATCAGTAAACTCTACATGATATCAAATTTTCCCTATATAGACTCACGAACTTCAGTTCATCTCCTTCAATACTATCTGCCCTCGGGTAGTATTTTTAATGATTCTCAAGTCGTCTATATAAAGACTCTCTGCTCTCGGCTTGGCTTTCTGATCTTCATCTCGTCTTTAATGACTTCCGATCCTTCAATTAATTCCTGCCTATAGCATATCTGTAATGACTTCCAACCCTTAAGCTTGACTACATGTATCTCTCCCTTTAGATATGTGTCCTATCTAAAGTCTCCATGCCTTCAGCTCTACCTACAACGAATTTCTTCCTTCAATTCGTATATAATGACTCCCTGCCTTCAGCTCGTCTATATTGGTTCTGTGCTTTCTGATCTGTCTTATATGTAAAATATCTCTACCTTCAGCTCGTTTCTGTTAAGACCTATGTTTTCATATCTAGTCGATATTGAACTTCTGCTTTCAGCTTGAGTCTAGAAGGACTTACTGTCCTTAGTTCGACACTTTAATGACTCCCTTCTCTCAGCACATCTTTATAATGCCTCCGGTCATTTTTATAGTGGTTCCATCCTCTCTGTAAATACTCTATGCCTTCAGTTCTTAAGACTCTCTGATATCACATCGTCTCTGTAAAGTCTCCAACTTTCTTTGGGCCAAATCCGTTTCAGCTAATTTGGAGTTGATTTACAAATGTCCGTAGGTCTGTTGGACTGACTGGTGAGCACGATATCTCTCAAAGGTTGTAACTGATTTCATCCAAACTGAACACATGGTAATATTTCTTACAAACTTCGATTAAGTGCAAAGAAGGGTCCCGTCGGTGCAATTCCTCTGGTACATTGCCCACAAATTGGTCAACAAATACTAGACATTCATTCCGTAGACTGCCGCAAACCCTAGACTTAGTCATTGTACACTTAACCTTATTGCCAATGAGGGTATATACACTAATACAGGTGTATACAGTAATACCCCAAAAATATGCCTAATCGAAATATTGGTTTTAGAGCCCATGTTTCTTTGGACCAAATCCGGTTCACAAAATTTGGAGTATATTTATAAATATCCGTCCGTCTATCTATATGGCTAGTGTGCACTATAACTCTCGAAAGGTGTACCTTTTTCATCCAAACATTGCACATCGTAATATTTCTTTCAAACTTAGTTTAAGTTCGAAGATGGAGAATATCGGCCCATTCGTCTGGCACCTCCCCCACATAATTGTCAACATTTTGCTGAAACTTAATTTTATGAAATCCTACGACTATCCGATATGAACCAAACTTTGCACAACCTATTATCTTTACCAAGCCTATATCAAGTCCAAAGACGGGACCCATTGGTCCACCCATTCGGATACCTCCCCACAAAGGATATTTATAAATCCAATATCAGGCGATTGCAATGCACGATTTGAAATAAATTTTGCACAAGGTGGAACCCGTCGGTCCTTTCCTTCTGGTACCTCCCTTACAAAGGGACAATGTAAATTTAATTGAAAGCCGATCGTGCGGATTTGATTCATATTAAACCCAAAACATTTAACTTATATAAGGCGAATAAAACTTGTGTTTAATGCAAACCATAGGCTGAGAGTACACAAATAATATATAGATATATATGTCGGCAACACCGACTGACATTTTTTTAATTGTTTACAGCATCCGCATATCAGAAGTTCGGACACCTACAAAATTGGAGTTCGGACACCTAGAAAATTGGCACTAATTTTAAATTTTGGGTTCTCGTTGGGTAGAAAACCACTCTAACAAAAGGTAACAATGGATGTAAGTCCATGTTCGGTATTCGGTACTTGGGGACTTTGGGCACGATTTTCAACGGAATCGACTTTAATATTTTGGGTTTTCATATGATCAATTTAGATAAAGATTTGAACATAGACCCCATATAAAAATACCGACCTAGTTTCGATATTTTGAAGGTTTTATCCGCAATTTCCCTTAAAGTGGGTGTTATTTGGCATTCCGGATTTATGCAGACAATTTATTTAAATAGGTCTTCGTTTGGACATAGCGCTCATATAAGGCTTCCGACCAATTTGCGTATTTTTAGAGACACGAAAAATTTTGGTTCATAATTTCTCATACAAAGACCCACCTTATTTCGTCTGAAATTTCATTTTTAATTTCCTCAAATTTACTACTACATAGTCACCATATAACTTGAAACCACACATCGACCGTACTTTATGACCTTTTTGGTGTTATACTTTAAAAATATAAGCCAATAGCTAAACCATATTTTTTTTCTTTTTCAGAAAGAAATCATCATTCCTAATCTGGTAAGTTAAATAAAGGTTAATTTTTCTGTCATATAAAAAGTTAAAAAGGGGAAAATCACAGCATTACCTCTTTTGGAACATAACAACTTTATCCTGTTCCAAATCTGTCATATCCACTTTATTCAGCAACTCTTCCTGTTCACTGCTATAACTCAAGAGCTGTGTATAGACATGGGCTGACATAAAGTTTTTGTTGCTATAGTATGGATCCTCGGGCTTACGGAAGTACTGATGGTGTAAGCGATGAGCACGCACCCAATTGTAGATGGAACCCTATGAATAGAAATAAATATTTTAATAAGACTTGATATATAACATCAATTTATGTTATCTTCTTACCTGACCAGCAATTGTTTGACACAGCATAAGGAAAATTTTCAGACCATTGGTGGCCTTATATGTGCCATGTGCCCACAGCCTGTGGGCACCAGCTGTTGCTCCCAAAATACCCAATACTGTTAATGTCAATGCTGAAATTGGCATATACATTAAGTTTTTGCAATCGAAACTATTATACATTTTAATATTTGAAATTTACTCACTGAATACAATGGTCAGCCATGAGGCACTGGTCAGTGTAACAAAAATACCATATAGACCCAAAATATGCAAATGTATAAAAAATAATACCGATGGCCAACTGGCCTCACGTTTAAATGATTTGGTCTCCACCTCTTGTGCTGTTGCTGTTGCACCACCAGTAGTCGCTGTTTTCTGTGTTTCCATTTTGTTAATGGATGGATCTATATTCTGAAACGATTCATTAATTATACATTATTATTACAAAACATTAACCTCAATACATAAATGGTTAAATTTCAAATATATGTAAATTTATCAATGTAATTCTAAAGTTCTTGTATTTATTTTTCTTTTGAGTGAAATAAAAGTACTTACGTCAGAATAAGTATTAAACTTTTAAATAAATGGAATTTTTGGACGATCGAAATTTATTAGATTTTGTTTTCCGATTGGTCATGTTTTGCGGAACTTCAAAAGCAATCACTCGAAAATATAACCCTGAACAAAGTTTACAATTCATTCAAAAACAAGTTCCGAGAATATCCGACATTTTGTAGTTAAATGTTGTTAAAGGCAATTTCGGCTTAAAAAGCTGATACCCATCCCTTCTGGTACCTCCTCCACAAATTGTAATAATAATAATAATATTTCTACCAAACCCAAATTCGATTGGATCCATCGATCCCCTCCTTCTGGTACCTCCACAGAAAGGATCAACATTTTAAAACCTTGTAAATTTCATATGAAGCTAATGGGAGACCTAACAGAAAATGTGGCCCTCTAAACCCCATATTCGGATTTAATGTTGGTTTAGTAAAATATTACGAACTGCAAACAATTAATCAAATTGGTTATTCAAATTAAATTTACAAATGTTCAAAATGTTGACCCGTTGTGGGGGAGGTACCAGACGGAAAGGACCTATGAGTTCCATCTTTGGACTTAATCTAGACTTATTAAAAATATGCCGATTTGTAATTTTTGAATCAAATAAGATATTAGCTTATTGAAAAAATCAACATATTGAAACCTTCTCTTGATATTAGAAAACTCATTTTCAGCTCAATTTCGACCATCTGTTGATCGATTTTTTACATCTTTAACCTTGATTTGAGTTTGAATCTTACGATATGTATGTACACTTTAAATCGAACGTTCCGTTCGCCTAATATTAGATTTAATAAAATATTGAAAATGTTCATCGTTTGAGGGAGATGTACCAGAAGGAGAGGACTAATAGGTCCCATATTCGGACTTGATCTAGGCCTGGTAAAGATAATAGATTGTGAAAAAGTTTGTTCAAATCTGATAGTCCGCATGATTCGCATGATATTACAAAATTACATTTTAGCACAATTTTGAGACTTTTGTGGGAGAACTTAATTTAAGATTGGAAGAAATATTTTAATGTGCAAAATTTGGATGGAATCGGTTACATTCTTCGAGAGTTATCGTACACATCAGGCAGCCAGACAGGCACAAAGGCGGACAGATGAACCGACAGATATTTACAAAACGACTCCAATTTGTCTGAAACGGATATTGTTCAAAGAAATATGGGGTCTGAAACCAATATAACTATGATACACATTTTTGCCATAACAAAGTGTGTATACACTTACTTGCGAAGTGCAAACTACTTCATATTCGTAAATTCCGGAGTCCAGCTCTATCCGTTCATACATAATCATGTTGTACTAAATATCCTAGCACTTAGCACACATAAGTACTAAAATTCCATATTTCAATTCTCCAACACTCCAATAGCAACCATTAGTCCAAATTTTAAGTTTCCAAATCACTCTCCGTTCATTCAAATCCAAATTGTACCAAATAAAGTGCCGTTTAATACTTTTCTTGCACATTAATTTTCAAAGCTGTCTCTGTAGCTCAATCCTTCACAGTAATCATATTTCCAAATTTCATGTTTTCAGCTCTATCCGTTCGGCCATAATCCAAATTGTACTAAATTTAGTACCAATTAGTAATTTTTGTACCCATACATATGAATTTTCTAAACTACAACAACTTCAACAGCCATTTTAATTCCCAATTTCAGAACACCAGCTCTATTTGTTTACCTAAATCCAACGTGTACCAAATTTAGTACCATTTAGTACTTTTCGTACACATAACTAAGATTTTTTAAAGCTACATCAATCCTGTGCTCCAATAATAATCCTAATTCTTATTTTGAGGATTCACGCTCAACTGACAATTTTTTTTCCAAATTCAAACAAATTATTTGTTCTTTAGTCCACTTCGCCTAAAGTCCATTTTCGTTTAAGGGGACCCCCCCTATTCTCGGGGTCAACTTTTTTTTTGATTTATTTCGATTCTACACTAATTCAAGAATGTCACTACAAAATTTCAAGTGAAAATCTCAAGAACTTTTGAATATATAGCCGATTTTATTGTCTTTTGCGAATGGCGGGCACGATAACTCAAAAACTAATAATGGTTTTTGCTCAAAATTCGGCGATTTTTTAAAAATATTTTTTCAATGGTCCGCCATTTTGGTAATTTTAGAGCGAAGTCAATAATCCTAGTTCATACGAGAGCCAGACATGTACACTTTCTAACACCGTTGGAATTTTCGGATTAATTAATTTAATTACAAAAATCAACAACAAAGCAATATAATATTCTGACATCGAATTTGGTTTATTCCTTTTTGGAATGAATCTAGTGATGGTCGATGGACCACAATGTAAAAAACTCGGTTACAACTGTGATTGTTGCTTTTGCTTTTTATACCCTACACAACTATGTTGTCAGGGTATTATAGCTTTGTGCAGCCCCAAGAGTTTGTAACGCCGCGAAATATTGGTCCTAGACCCACCTTTAAGTATACCGATCGTCATATCTCGATCTAGACATGTGTGTCCGTCCGTCCGTTCGTCTGTCCATTATAATTTGTAAACACGATACAAACCACAGTTATGGACCAATCTTCACGAAATTTTGCATGAAGGATGAGTTCTGGCCAATGAAGACTCCTATTGTTTTTGGTAAAGATCGGTTAATATTTAGGGGATGAAATGGTCCAAATACTAAATTTTTGTCGGGTTTTCTGGTCGCTCCAGAGGCCGCAATTATGGCCCGAACATCGTGAAATTTTACATGGAGTAGGGGATCGGGCCAAAGAATCAGCATGCCTGTTTTGATAAAGATCGGTCAATATTTAGCGGGTCAAATAGACCCTGACTTTTGTGTGAAAAATTACAAAATTTGTAATCTATGGCGTATATATTAACTCCCGAAGTATATTCAAGAGGAGTGGTTGACCTTTAAGGGGACCCCCCCCATTCTCGGGGTCAAAATTTTTGTTGATATAATTCGAAACTACACTGATTAAAGAATGTCTCTACAAAATTTCAAGTGAAAATCTCAAGAACTCTTGAAGATATAGCCGATTTATTGTGCCAGCATCAAGTGACGGCTAAAGGGTTTCTCAACTAAACGCGTTTTTCTCTAAACATTTTTTTGCGAATGGCGGGCACGATAACTCAAAAACTAATAATCCAATTGGTTCCAAATTTTGCAACGTTTCTCTGGGAGTGTATAGCTCTCGTATGAACTAGGATAAAGCCAATCGGTGAAGATCTTCCTTATTTTTAACTTGTTTTTTTTTTCCAAAAATATTTTTTCAAAGGTCCACCATTTACTTAATTTTAGAGCGAAGTCGATAATCCTAGTTCATACGAGAGCCAGACATGTACTATTTCTAACACCGTTGGAATTTTCGGATTCCGATGTTCCAGTGAGGAGTTATCATGCCCGCCATCAAAAATAAGGACTTTTCTTTAATTACAAAAAAACAACAACAAAGCAATAACAAAATTTTTTTGTAAATTATTTTTCTTCTCTTTTAAATCTTCAAATATATATGTGCAAAGTTACAAACCTTAACAAGCATTTGTATTCATTTACCAGCCCATTGAAAATCTTGAAAAATTAAAATCGAGAATGGGGGGGATTCCCTTAAATTGATACCAATTATATTGTCGTATTTACTTAGGTGTGGGGGTTACACTTAAATATTTAGAGCTGCTTAGGTTTTCATATATTATTTTGCGGAAATAAAGCCCTGATCGCTTTGAAATTTTCCATGAGGGACTAGGTATGGTCAAGGATAACGCCTATAATTTTCAGCGATGATCAGATAATTGTATTGGGATAAAGTGGACCGCAAACTTAATTTTGTTGTGTTTTTTCCAGTTCATCTGTAAGCCACAATTGAAAGCCGAATATCACCACACAGCCCACGGTGAATAGAATCTGGACAAGTAATTAGTAGGGCTGCACCGAATATATGTAATATCTGTTGACCTCTTATCAGTCAAGAATGTGCAAATATCGCGAAATATTGCCAAGCTCAGAATAGAAAGTTAGATTTTCGTGGAAGTTGTGTAGGGTATCATATGGTCGGCCCCGTCCGACTATACTGCTCCGCTCACTGGTTTATTAAAACTTTTGTCATTTTTATTAAATTCATACTTTTATAAAAATAAGGACATTAGTACACTCATTTGTAATGTAGGATATTATTGCACTCAAGGTATAACACGATTTTTTATATACAAACTTTATATAATATCCAATTGAAGATGATTTGCGACGCTTGTTTTATTTTTTTAATCACAGTATCACATTTATTGATTATCTTCACATTTTATCTACATACCTATATAACTGCTAAAAAAAGGATTTATTTTTTTTTATATCCAATAATCCTTGCTAAGTTGTTTTTTTGGGCACGAGCTACAATCGTCCGAACACCACACGCTTCCGTTCAGAACTAACGCCTACAGAATTATTTTAATCCAATGTATTCAAATCGTAAACGAAAGAAATTAATGAATTCATTAAAAAAATCAAATGAAGAATAATACAATTCTATTAAATATAGTCTAGAGTTTTACATTAAATACGATCCACAAGTAGCAAGGTGACAAAGACCAATTTCAAAAAAGAAAATTAAATTTACATTAAAATTACTTTATATATTTATAAAATCGTAAAACAATTCCATCCAAAAACAAGAAACAGTTACTAAACTGAATTGTTGAATTTCAATGGAATTCCACGCTTCAATGACCGATCGGACGGGGTTCCTGGTCGTCTTTACAAAATAATAAAAGAAAGTCTAAATGAAAATATCAATGTGTTAAATATTTGTACTTTTCATTTCCGCTTAATTATTTTAAAAAAATACTGCATGACAAATAAAATAAGAATTTTTTTAAAGTTTTGGGTTTTGTTTCATATATTTAAAATAATTATTTCATTTTTGTTAATTCTTGTAAGTCATCTTTGGGTATATCTTTATCCCCATAGCCCCATACTGCATCTTTGTGGGCAAATTCATCGGTTAGGAAACGACTGCCGTCGCCGCATTTTTTAGCACGTCTCAAAATCATATCGGGTGAAACGGATTTACCTGAAAAGGATCGGAATTAATTTTTTTATAAAATTTAATTGAATTACATTTTTTTACAAACTTACGTCCAGAAGCCAAGCCATACTTGGCACAGAAATCAATAAAGGCTGTGGTAATATTTAGGCGATAGCTACCAAACTCTCCAGTTTTATAGTCCCAGGGAAAGACGTGATGATAGTTGTGCCATCCCTCGCCCAAGGCCACAAATGATACAAAAGGACTTTCAGTGGGGCTAATGTTTCTAAAAAAGAAAAATTAAATTCGGAAAAGATAAGTGAAAGCCCCAAACAAACAAATTCATTTGTACTATTGAGGCTTTTTTTCTATAGAAAAAAAAATGCTCAGCACGATTGAGGTTTCTTTTTTCTATAGAAAACATTTCTCAGGACCACTAAGGTCTCTTTTTTCTATAGAAAAAATCCTCAGTACAACTGAGGTCTCTTTTTTCTATAGAAAAAAATCCTCAGTAAAACTGAGATCTCTTTTTTTCTATAGAAACAAATTCCTCAGTACCACTGAGGTGTCTTTTTTCTAGAGAAAAAAAATTTTTCAGTACAACTGAGGAGACACCTCTGAGGCTTCTTTTTTCTATAGAAAAAAATTCCTCGGTACCACTGAGGCTTCTTTTTTCTATAGAAAAAAATTCCTCAGTACCACTGAGGCTTCTTTTTTCTATAGAAAAAAATTCCTCAGTACCACTGAGGCTTCTTTTTTCTATAGAAAAAAATTCCTCAGTACCACTGAGGCTTCTTTTTTCTATAGAAAAAAATTCCTCAGTACCACTGAGGCTTCTTTTTTCTATAGAAAAAAATTCCTCAGTACCACTGAGGTGTCTTTTCTATAGAAAAAAATTCCTCAGTACCACTGAGGCTTCTTTTTTCTATAGAAAAAAAATTCCTCAGTACCACTGAGGCTTCTTTTTTCTATAGAAAAAAATTCCTCAGTACCACTGAGGCTTCTTTTTTCTATAGAAAAAAATTCCTCAGTACCACTGAGGCTTCTTTTTTCTATAGAAAAAAATTCCTCAGTACCACTGAGGCTTCTTTTTTTTATAGAAAAAAATTCCTCGGTACCACTGAGGCTTCTTTTTTCTATAGAAAAAAATTCCTCAGTACCACTGAGGCTTCTTTTTTCTATAGAAAAAAATTCCTCAGTACCACTGAGGCTTCTTTTTTCTATAGAAAAAAATTCTCAATACCACTGAGGCTTCTCTATCTATAGAAAAAATTTCCTCAGTAGTACTGAGGTGTCTTTTTTCTATAAAAAACACAAATTTCCTCAGTACTACTGAGGCTTCTTTTCCAAAAAAAAAAATCCTCAGTAGCACTGAGGTGATTTTTTTATAGAAAAAAATTCCTCTGTACGCCTGAGGTGTCTTTTTTCTATAGAAAAAAAATCCTCTATACGTCTGAGGTGTCTTTTTTCCATAGAAAACAATTCTCAGTACAACTGAGATGTCTTTTTTCTATAGAAAAAATCCTCAGTACCACTAAGGTGTATTTTTTCTATAGAAAACCATTCTACAGAACCACCGAGGTGTCTTTTTTCTATAGAAAAAAATCCTCAGTACCACTGAGGTGTCTTTTTTCTATAGAAAAAAATTCTACAGTACCCAGTGGTACTCAGTACCATTATGGTTCGGGATTTTTACAGAAATAGTATGTAAATTTTCAACTAACTTATCATATGGCCTCGATCCGAACATATGTGCCACGCTATTGACAAAGAAAGCAGCATTCAGCGTCAATGTAAATCTCAATGTAAAACAAATCCAAAATGAATTCCACAACGATTCACCCCAAAAATACCATGGTGTCAGTACGGGCATACCAATTGATAAGACAGCAAACAGCGGAATATACCATTTACGTTGAAACATAACCACCTTGTCATTTTCCAAATCGGACATATCGATGACTTTACGTTTTTCCGCCACCTTAGGGTGTGGTGTCAAGAACAACCAACCGACATGGGCAAACCAAAAGCCACGTTTAGCATTATGAGGATCGGCTTCTGTCTCAGAGAATTTATGATGGATTCGGTGATCCAAGGCCCAGGTATAGGCATCACGCTGAAATAAAAAACAATTATATAAATGAATTATTCAAAACTATCGTTTTACTACTCACCTGTCCCGCAATGGAAAACAGCAACATTAAGACAATACGCAAAGGCAGTGATGCATTATACGATTTATGTGACCATAAGCGATGGGCCCCTGCTGTTATACCAATACCGGATATCCAGATGGTTATAAATACTGCAAAAAAAAACAGAGAGACAAATATATTTTTAATTATTTAATGTTTTCAAAAAAAAATATTTTCTGTTTGCTGGGTGTATTTTCATTCTCTTCAAACTATTTGTTAATTATTCAATTGAAAAGAAATTTTGGGATAGGTCAAAGTTGAAATCGTTAGCTGTTGACACACTTGTTTCATACACGCGTATATTTTGTTTGCTAATAGAATTTGTAATTAAAACAATGTCACTGGCATTAAACGGCCAACTGATCTTGAACTTACTCAACTATTTTGAATATTCAATTTATAAATATAGTAAATGAAAAAATTTAAATACACCCCTTGGTTTGGGGGTCCACACACACACACACAAACTTTTACTTTACTATTTTATTCTGAAAACTGAATTCACTAACATTTCAATATTTGCCAAAATGTTCCTATTTTTTTTCTTTTCCGAACTCCAAACATTATATGAAAACACGCCCTCCTGAACATACGGTTGTAAGTATTTTTAAATGATTTTTTTTAAATGCACAACTTCCAGGACGGCTATAAAAATTAATTAAAAACCCCAAACATTTTTAGATAAATTAATTTTAAAAAATTCAAGATTTTCACTATTTTATAATTTCTGAAGAAAATAAATTAAAGCAAGTGAAAAAGCGTTCGGCCGGGCCGAACCATCTACCATAGGTATACTGAGAGGTACTTGAAATGAAAATATAGGGAACATACCAAAAAGTGTACCTATACCGACATTTCTACAAACCGATTATGGTTCTAAATATTGGTCCTAGATCCCATGTTTCTTTGGACCAAATTTGTTTAAGAAAATTTTAACTTCATCCCACATTTGCCCATGGAATATCGGTCCATATATATAAGGTTAATTATCGACCTTATGTTCTAGGGACGACCCCAAGAAGGGGGCGAACATTATAATTTTTGGTAGGCAGATTTGTTACCATATACGACTACAAAATACCAAATTGCAGCAAATTCGGTTAACATCGCGCTCAAGACCCCCCAAAATACCGAAAATTGGGGGTACCCTTATGTGGGGGCTATCCGAAAAAAGGGACCTATATTCATAAGTTTTTGTGGGGAAATTTGGTACCTATTAAGAACTCAAAATACTAAATTACAGCTAATTCGGCGGAAAAATACGATCAAACCCACCAAAATACTGAAAGTTAGGGGGTATCGTTATATGGGGACTACCAGATCTACCAGACCTATATTAATAACTTTTATGTGGAGACATTTAGTACCTAATAAGAACCCAATGTAGCAAATTCGGCTGAAAAACGGGTTAAAGAACCCCAAAATACCGAAAATTGAGGGTTACCGTTATATGGGGGTACCAGAAAAAATTGACCTCTATTTATAATTTTTAGTAGGGAGATTTGCTACCCAATAAGAACTCAAAGTACCAAATTTTAGCGAATTCCGTTGAAAAACACGCCTAAGAACCCTAAAATACCGAAAATTGGGGGGTACCATTATATGGGAGCTATGCCTAAACGTGGACCGATATATCCCATCTTCGAACTTGACCTGCCTGCAGACAAAAGACAACTTTATCCAAAATTTCAGCAACCTATCTCAATTCCGTCAGAAGATAGCGTGATTACAACAGACGGACGGACATGGCTAGATCGTCTTAGAATTTTACCCTGATCAATAATATATATACTTTATAGGGTCGGAAATGAATATTTCGATGTGTTACAAACGGAATGGCAAAATTAATATACCCTCCATACCATGGTGGAGGGTATAAAAAAGTCCCGATTAAGTTTTCCAACTAGATTGCATGTAATTTGGAACACTATTTTTTCAGAGCATGAACAACCTACTATAACATAACACCATAACATAGTCCCCATAAACATATCCCAAATTTTGAATGCACCCCTCGAGCTGGAGGTTCTAAAAAGTTCAAAACGGCCAAACTGAACGATGTTTTTACTTGTTTAATTTTATAGAATTATCAGTGCAGTATTTAAATATTTCTTAAAATAAGTATTTGAAAAATATCAGAACGTGTATGCTACAAGTACACTCGTACCAATTTCCCCCCAAAAAAAATCATATGAAAGTCATGTATGTCAATATTTATCATTCCACTGTGCTCTAAATATTGAAATTCAATTAATATCTACACGTGATTTTTTTGTTTGCATCTCTAACGAACTATTTATTGATAAATTTTCATATTCATAGATAATTGAAAGTCTACTTGTCTGTCTAAATTCACATCTAACTATGTAAATTGTTTGAGTGTGTCGAACAATTAATAACTAAATGAAAAATAACAATAAATTAATGGCATTTAATAAAAACCAAGCATATACGCCTGTCATTGTATCTCCGAGCATACAACAACGTCGAACAATGTTGCCAATGTTTACATCATGGTGGGCATTTAACGGCTACAGCAACAATCCACAATTTTTTATTGGCTTTTTCAATTATAACAATGCATACAGTCTAAATGGCTGACAGTCATTTGATTTTGGAATTGGAATAGCCTAATTAAAAAAAATCAAAACAACATGTTGTGCAAGAAAAACACTGTGGAAAAAATATGTTGATAGGAGATTGGCACTAGAGAAATGGGTTCGTTCACTGATAACATCAACAATTATATATTGAAGCGGATCAACTCTGTTTTATTCAAATATTATTTGCTATAGTATAAACACATACATTTTATTAATCATTTAAATGCAATTCATATTTAAATATTTGAAATTAACGGTTAACTATGTAAATATTTTGTAAATAGTACTAAAAACTACATCTCTGAATCTACTACATTATTATACAACCAATACTAGACGAGGATCGTGCTTCTCATAAGTAGTACTTAAGCTCAATCAAATTTCAATAAAATCGCTTCACTCCGAGTTCTGGACTCCCCGGCTCTAATTCGTTTAAGCGAACACTGAAGGCTTAAGATCATTACCCACGCTTGCCCAAGTTGATGGACTCAGATCGTAAGCTGGAAGTAGTTCCTAAACAAGGAGTAGCCAACATTATTGTAAATCTTGTTGTTTCGAGTTTCTTCACTGGCGCCCAACGTGGGGCAAGCCTCACTAAAACCCAAGGAGCTTCTTTAATATTGATTTTACAGGCTGATTTGTTAGCTATAATATTTTTGGCAACACTGGTTTAAACAGCTCACCCACGTTTCGTATTTTCTTTCACTGACAAACATCTTTAGTTTGGGCTATTATTTATTAGGAACTCAGAATTAGACTACTATTTTAAAGACTATTATTTTACAGATGAGAGATTTATCGGAAGTCCATTTTATTTCAATATTTGCAATTGCCTCCAATATTTTTCTCAGTGTATTCCACCACATAACCCACATTCTGCATTGAATCAATGTATTTAAACAATTCACAAGTTTTGAATATTCTTTGGCATTTTAATACTTCGATGATTGTTTTGAATATTTCCGAGAGCGTCGTCGTCGTCATCAACACTTCCACAAATAGCAACAAACTTGACGTGTCTGTCTGGAACTTATCGTCTGGTGTTTGTTTTGTTTATTCTTATCGAATATCCAGCCAGACAAATATATATTTTTTTCTTGTTGTTGTATCTTTTAAAGTTATTTTGTTTAGTTTTGGGGTTTTTTTTTGGAAGCATGCTTATGATAAAAACTAATATTTATTAATAATTTTAGAAAATGCTTACTAATGGTTGGTTTATTGTGGCGGAGTAAAAAAAATGAATAGTTATTAATTTTTGAGAAATTTTAGATAAAATATATAATAAAATCATTTTAAATTTTTTTTAACAAAAAATAATTGCAATTCTTGTTATTGAGTCACTTATTATACAATACAATATGACTGTATATCATAAATATTTTTGTGGTAGCGTGAATGAACGTTTGACATATGTCACACAATTAAAAATTGATAGCTGGAAATCGGCGGTAATAAATAATAAGTAATGTAAATAAAATAGTAGTTAAGTTCGACTGGACTGAACTTTTCATACTCTTCACCATGTTGTGTGAATTAAAACTGTCAGGACCTTTTTAATGAGGTATGTCTTTTTAAATCGGTCTAGAACTAAAACATTCCGAAAATTATACTGGACGTTTATATGATGGATATACCAAAATGTGGGCCGATATATACCATTTGCAGTACAAAATATGATAGTAGTCGTAGCAAAAATATGTTTAAAATTTCAAAGTTCTATCCTTAATATTGCGATCTCTATTAATGATTTCAACAGAAATACGGACATGGCTAATTTATTCTGATCAAAAATATTTATATTTTACGTGGCCTTCGACTAATATTTCGAAGTGTTGCAAACGGAATAACACATTTAATGTATACTCCACCACATCGTGGAAGATATAAATATCGATCTTCATATGCTCTACAACCTCAAAGTTATTAATATTTATCCGAAACCTTATAAACAAGTAAATAGTAAGTGTCGGTGTAACAATCTTGATCAGTCACCATATAGCTCACAATAGAATGTTTGGTTTTAAATATGTATGTATATGTAGATCCTCATTTTGGAATAGCCTTTATATAACAGTACCACACTATTTTCTATATTTTGAAGATTTAAGCAAAATATTCCCATCGATGTGTCAAAATAAATGAAAATGTCAATCGGAGTACAAAGAATGGATCTACGACCTATATTTCGTGTAACAAACAATTGCTCTGTTATATGTTTATGTTCGATAGCTTATAGCAATATATAAGTTCGATATATCATCAACATAAGTTTTCTCTTTCATACTATTTGATAGAAGTCACATTCCTGTTCCCCGCATTATTCCAAGGAAAAGTGTAGGTCTCCTTTGCCCGGTTAGGTTAGGCCAACGAGTGGAGAACAGAGGTCATCTCCACTCGTTGGCCTAACCGCTATTTACATCTAATATTGGTGGATCAGTGGCACTTCTGACGAGTAGATGTGATATAGATTTTCCTATTATTCCTAGGTGACTCGGTACCCATA